TATAAAAAAATAAAACTACGAAGTTGAATATGATTTTTTGTACGTAATATACAGACATATTTTTCAATGTTAACGTTTATAAAAAAATAAAACTACGAAGTTGAATATGATTTTTGTGTGTACGTAATATACATACATATGTTTCAATGTTCACGTTTATATAAAAATAAAACTACGAAGTGGAATATGATTTTTGTGTGTACGTAATATACACACATATGTTTCAATGTTAACGTTTATATATAGAAAAAAGTTATTTCAAATGATCTTCTTTCATTTCTAGGTCCTCGTTTACGAAAGAAGAAGACTTCAAGGAAAACACCTGAAGAAAAGCGACCAAGAACCGCTTTTACAACGGATCAACTCGCACGTTTAAAGAAAGAGTTTCACGAAAACCGGTACTTGACAGAAAAGCGCCGGCAGGAATTAGCACGTGAACTCCAGGTAAACGAATCCCAGATTAAAATCTGGTTTCAAAACAAGCGGGCTAAAATAAAAAAGTCCACTGGTGAGAAAAATCCTTTGGCCTTACAGCTAATGGCCCAGGGACTGTACAATCACACCACGTTACCCATCACTCATGGTATTGATGACGATGGTGACTCGAACATTTCCACGTGAGCTTATAACAACAGTTAAAAGCATAGCAAAAAAAGAACGTTTTCGTTTGTTCACTTTGAAATTTTCGTACACGTGTATACGAGTTATAAATTGAACTTATTATGTAAATATATATTTTAGCCTTTTTGTATATTTTCGCTTAATTTATTTACCATAGATTCATCCAATATTATGCTTGATTTCAGTTAATTCCCACCGGACAGCATGTTTTAGGTGTGATAGGTTGAGTCCTATACTGTATTGTGTTATCTCCGTGTGTGCGATTAGGTGATTGTACAATTCTGTACAGGCTGCAATATTTCTTCTAAAAAAACTGACTATAAGAACGAGCCCGTTTTTGTGAAAAGCGTCATTTTTTGCAATCCATTTTAGTCTATCATATCGTAACTTTAGACGTCCAAGTAACTCATTATCAACTGACGCAAAGTTATGAATAAACTATACAGTACTACAGTCATACGTGATCAGCATGTTAGACATGACAGAGTATCCTACTGTCACTTGAACAATTTCAATTAAGTAAAATACAGAGATGACAGAAATCTTCCGAAAGTTCTAGGCAGTATAGGTTGTGTCGTATCTCAAAGTCTATACCAGTATTAACTGTACAATAAAACTACAATGCTGACGTTTAAAACCTTGCTTACTAGATTTATGTTTACTGTAATATTACACAAGAAATGGGCTGATTCTCATATTTTCTTTTACTTTTTGGTTTACTAAGTTTCATGGTATATTTACGACAGAGATCTGAAAATTACTTGAGTACAAGTATATAAAACGTTCTTCGTATTAATATAAAGATGAACAAGTGTAACACAAGCTACTTTTAATAAAAAATATGATAGATGATATCATCAGACATTTTTGGTATGTTTATGCGTACATTTGTAACATTATAGTGATTGTGTACGTACAGATTATGCATATTCATTATTGTGCGTGTCTTTGTGATTCATAGTCTTTTTAATGGTTTATCATCCCCTGGACGTGTCATACCTTTCGCCGACAAGAAATCCAGATAATCTTAGTTTAACTCTTTTGCTCCATTTGAGTGAGAAAACTCATTTCAAGGTGTATTCATTAAGGAGCCAGCCAGTCATTAGTTTAAGCCTTTCTCTCTCTTTGAGCAAGAAAACTCGTCTTAAGTCGTATTCATAAAGAAGCCAACCAATCACCAGTTTAACCCTTTCTCTCTCTTTGAGCAAAAAAACTCGTCTCAAATCGTATTCATCAAGGAGCCAGCCAATCAAGAGCTTAGTTTGAGCTTTTTCTTTATTTTATAAATCAATCTTGGCCAAGAAGTGTTGTCTAGCTATTGGCAAGTATAATCTACCAAGGAACCAGCCATAAGCTCAGTTTAAACTTTTCTTTGCTGAGTATCATCCAAAGATGAGTAGATTCTATTAGCTATTAACAAGCAAAATCTACCAAGGCACCAATCAACCATGAGATTGGTACTTTTCTTTGCTGGGAATCATCCCAAGATGAATATATTCCTCTAGCTACTAGCAACCAACAACTTCTGATTGGCTTACTTTGAGTTTAGTTTCGTCCTTTTCTTGCTAAAGGATTTCACTGTGCGATTAGAATAATTTGGCAACTATCCATGAAAGACTCAGCCAGTTATAAGTGGCTAGAACGGAAATAAACATTCGCTTAAAGTAGTAAGTCGGAATATGTTTGAAGATTACGATCTTAAAATTAGTGACATATTTTTGTATATATATATTTTGAAATTATGTTGACAGTGAAATTATTTGGGCACGAAAGTGATATGCCCAAAATAATGACCACTTTCTTGGTGGTGATATTAATTGCATGGTAGATCGTCCACTGCCTCAAAGCACGTTTCTTCTGCAAGTCTAATTCTGACTATTTCTGTCTATTCAGATGTGAACAGTACTGTGATATATCAAATTCATTCTTGTTTGAACGGCACAACTACTATTCTTTAGCTCACAAACAAAATCAACATATATAAGCTATAGTGCTGAAAAGACAGCTCCACCTGTCGAAAGTGTATAGCGTTTTATCGGTTATTTTAATGTGAATTAGTAACTTTTTTAAATTCTGTGTTTTTTCTGTTATCATAAGCTTAGAAACTAATGTGCTATGTTGGTCGTAAAAAGTGTAAAGGTTAATAAACCAGTTTGTTTCATCTTTTATATTTGTTTATCAGATTTAAGATAAGCGAAGAACGCCAGAGCATTCCCCTCACTTCTATCTAATATATAAATATATGTATATATATGGTTCTAAAGTGTGTTTAAGATACCAACAAATCTCACCAAAGCGTAATTAAAACAAACAAACAAATAAATAAATATTAAATCTCCCCTTCACCGCTTGAGAGGCACACAATAACTTCACAGAAGTAGGACCCATTTAACGATTGGGTTATATAATGTTTTTGCAAGTTCTTAAATTCTTAAGAAGAAAGAAAAGAAAAGGTTTATTTTCTAATTCTCAAGTGGCACTCCCTGTTCAGTAGTGAGTACGCTAGTAACACTTATAAAACTGGAAAATATTTTATTGTACAACTGAAAGATGTAGCGAATTATATGTATTTCTCAACCTATAATAAGTGTGTCTTTTTGTTTTCTGTGACGTGCAGATTTACGTCTTGCATAGAGTAAAATTTGTACAGGTAGACTTGCAGGAGACATAAAGTGATTGCAAAGCTATTTTCAATTGACTTCTGGCGAAGTGGGATATCTAGACAGAGAAATACTTTTAGATGGTTTAGAATGCGTAGATGGTGATAACCTACAAGTATAGACCTGACTTTCCATTGGTATGTGTGTAATGTTTTTATTGAAACATGTTTAAAAACCAAATAAACTTGACTTCAATTTTATTGTTTAATCCGCGTTTCTTTCAATTATTTGCTGTGAATAAAAAGACTGCATATATATATATAATTCAATAAACGTTGTGATTCATCAGACTTGTGTATAAAATACAAGTGTTTCCATTACATATAACATATAGTTTTACTAGTGTTTGTGAGAAAAAAATGGAAACTAGTACCATGAAATTACATGTTTGTAAGAAAATAATAATAAAATAAATAAACCTATTGCAATTTCTTAAGTTCAAAAACATTGCCAATGCTACGTAGTCGGTTTCATACACCATATAGTAACTTTACTTATTTCATAACATGTTTATGTATATGATCTCAACAAACATGATACTGTATTTATATGTCTGTGTTTAAGTAATAAGTTTTGAATGTCGATGATTTTCGTATCTGTAAAACTGTATGAAATAAACCTTTGTATGTATAATCATTCAAAATACCCATTGATGCTCCGAATAAATAGATGGTTAAATCTGTACCACGATTTGAACTTTTGATTTTAACAGTTAATGTGTGTGATGCATCAATGAGTAACTTAATTATGCTTTCCCGACTTTTGACCTTATGTGATGTAATAAATATGTCTGTAAACTTTGTATAATACAAATCTACATATCATACATTTTAAAGAAACAGAATAAATCGTTTTTTTTTATTCATTATTCGTTTGTCTTATTATCCATGCAGAGTTGGATATATATATAATTTGTAATTCACTGGTAAAACAATAACGAGATTTATCATGATATTTTCCATGTCTGACTATTACACTGATGAGAAAAGAGTAAGTGAAAATATGTGTGTATGTGGCAAAGAAAAACACATTATGTATACTTTTTTCTTTTATCCATACAAGTCTCTCTCTTTACGTATACGTGAATACTTATATGAAGGCAAAACATATTTCTTTATGGCTTATTTCATTGTTCACTGGATGCTACTTCCCATCTTTTAGGCTAATAATTGCTTTACTCTGCAGTCAATAAGTAAAACGGTTTTGATCCAAAAATTATGAATGATTTATTTCCTAGTCGAATATATTAGTTTACACTTGAAACAAAATTGTAAACTATTTTCTACTTTTATTGTGTGTACCTTTTTATATAATCATTTTTATATTTCTTAATTGAATCTCTAGACAGGCTAATTTTTAATCACAGTATGACAATTATCCGAACACAGAAGATAAAAATAAACACAAGGCCTTCCTTCTCTTTCATTTCGTTATACTTGCAGTAGTGAAAAACTATATTTTTAATTGTTTCTCTGTTGAAAACTTCTGTCCTGCTTTTTTAGTAATATAACATAAACAACAGTGACACACTACAGCACAAACAAGTTAACAAGTAAAGAGACAAATCATAATATACTCAAAGGTGTCGCAAGGAGGGGGTTCGGAGGTACAAACACACACCCCTTTTGGACCATAAATAACTATTAATTCCACGAGCCGCCTAGTTTATTTACAGGTAGGGAAGCCAGTAGCTTTAGCCAAACGTAATGTAATTTAAGTACTGAGCGGTGAGTGGCCCCGTTTTTCAGTATGTTGTGGATGGGTAAGTACCATATTGTTTTACAACTTACTGACCAGGTGAACGCTATAATGAAAAATCATGTTCTGGCTAAGACAAACCTTCATATTTTCATTTATCTTGGGGCAACTAAGTACGCTTCAGAAGGCTGTGGTTGTTTGTTCATACCTAAATACACCTAGCCAGTTCGATACAAAACATTATAGCATTTAAAAGGAAGGGCTCAAATGATAGTATAATATAGTATAAAATACGGTGAAAAATAATTAATAAAATGGATTTACATACATATAATTGTAACTTACACATAAACTTCTATTTAGTAATGATTAGATAGTATTCAGTTTATTTTGAAAACTTGCACGAAAACTTATTTCAACATTTTTACATCATCGCGTTCTCGTCACAACAAGTGTAGTTTTACATGATCGCGTGACACGTGCGCATACATAAGAAAGATGCACCACGAATAGAAACGAACCCCTTAACAAATTACGCTCATGATTCGCTATATTAAAAAGCTGTTGTTGTTTGTAATTAAGCACAAAGCTACACAATGGGCTATCTGTGCTCTGCCCACCACGGGTATCGAAACCCGGATT